CTTCCTGTTTTTATAAAGGCATCATTCCCACCATGGGGACTCCACCCTCATGACCTCACCTAACCCTAACCACCTCCAAACACTATCGCATTGGGGTTTAGGGCTTCAACATATGAATTTGGGGGCACAAACATTCACACCATAGCACTGATTTATTTATTTATTTAGTTAGTTAGTTAGTTAGTAACTAGAGGCCCAGTGCCCGAAATTTGTGCACGGCGAGGGGGGGGGGGAAGCGGTGGGGGGGTGTCCCTCAGCCAGGCCTGCACCCTCTCCAATCTGGGACCCCTTGGGGCAGTCAGACATCCCTTTCACAATCCAGGACTGCTGGCTCCTAACCGCTCGCCTGCCTGCCTGCCTGATCGCCCCCTAACCACTCCCCTGCCAGCCTGATCTCGCCCCCAACTGCTCTCCCCTGCCAGCCTGATGGCCCCCAAGTGCCCTCCCCTGCAGGCCTGGTCACACCCAGCTGCCCTCCCCTGTAGGCCTGGTCTCCCCCAACTGCCCTCCCCTGCCGGCCTGGTTGCCCCTAACTGCCCTCCCCCGCCAGCCATCTTGTGGTGGCCATCTTGTGATGACATCACATGACACCACCTAAGCTTTTATTATATAGGATAGCTTATTGATTTTTAGAGAGAGAGGATGTGAGAGCACATTATTGATCGGCTTCCCCCTCGTATCTCCCCACACTAGGGATGAGCCTGAAATCTGGGCATGTGCCCTGACCGGGAATTGAACTGGCAACCCTTTGGTGCACAGGACGATGCCCAACCAACTGAGCCACACTTGCCAGGGCCATAGCACCGATTTTATATACACAGGCAGTCCTTGGGTTACGTCGGACTCGACGTACGTCGTTTCGTGGTTACCTCACCATCTCCCATTTACAGTATTTATAAAAAAAAAAGTTCCGTCATTTCAACGTATGTACATATGTGCTTTATGTTTTTTATTATTTATTTACCACAAGTAAAGGTCAGGAATTGTTATCTTTCTTTTAAATTGTTTTACTGTTTCACTTCATTACTGCTGTGTATGTGCTCCATGTGAGTGACATAGGTGCTTATGTAGGTGGGTTCCGACTTACGGTGAAAATCGCATTATGTCACGCCGTAGGAACGGATCTCTGACATAACCCGAGGACCTACTGTACCAGGTGGAGCAAAAGTAGGTTTACAACTGTTCATATGGAAAATAATACAATAATGAATAAGCAATAATACAAAAATAAACTGTTTCTCATACAACCCTAAACTTACTTTTCCCCCACCCTGTATACTAGTATATGTTTTGTTTGTTTTTAGTATATGTTTTACATATATAATTTCTATGTTTATTACCTCTGTTTCCACCACAGCTTGAGGGTGGGGGTGTCTGTCCATCCAGGTCACTGCTGGGGCCTCAACACGTAGCCAGTGGCCTGGCCCACAGTAGGTGCTCAACAAACAACTCAGTAGGTGCCACAAAAAACCTGTGAGATGGAAAGAGAACTTGTTGCCTCACAGGGGATAGATGGGTGGTGGGGGCCCAGACCCTCTTCTGTTTGATCTGGTGTCTGACCTCCACCATGGCCACAGCTGGTTCCCCTTGAGAAAGGGGGTGTTTTACTGCGGGGCCCTGGATTCCTCGACCTTCCCCCCTCCTCCACGAGCACAGCCACAACATCAGCTCTCCACCTGGGTCTCCGTCCCCAGCCCAAGGCCCAGCCACCACCTGTGTTGCCCCTGGAATGTCCTCCTGGTCCTGAATTGATCCTGCATTTCCCCACCGCTGGCTTTTCCGCCCCAGCCCTTGCCTGCCCCCAGCCTCCATTGCCTTTCTTACCAGGATCTGTCTTACCACCTCCTAACCTGTGTCCCAGTCGTCCTCATATTCCCAAAAGCAACATGATAGTCCTGGCCATCTGCAGAGACGCTGCAGCCAGCCATCTCAGATCAGTGACTCCCCTCTCTACGCTTCATTTTCCTCATCTGCCGAATGGGGCATGAGAACTAGTGCCTACTTCCTAGGGGTTGGGAGGAGGAAGTGAATGTGCAGAACACTTAGAACACTCCCTGGCACCAGCCATCACTACATTAGTGTGGGTTGTTATTGCTATTGTTTATATATATACTAGAGGCCCGGTGCACGGATTCGTGCACCGGTGGGGTCCCTCGGCCTGGCCTACAGGCATCCCCCGAGGAGTCCCAGATTGCAAGAGGGCACAGGCCAGGCCAAGGGACCCAACCGGTGCATGATCAAGGCCGGAAGGGACCGTGGGAGGGCTCCAGGGCGTGTCCGGCCCGTCTCGCCCAGTCCCAATTGGCTGGACCTCAGCATCAAGCTAACCTACCAGGTGGAACATCTGCCCCCGGGTGGTCAGTGCACATCATAGCTACCAGTCCATCGGTCAAACAGTCGAATGGTTGAATGGTCGCTTAGGCTTTTATTATATAGGATATATATGTATATATATATATATATATACCCAGTATGTATATATGGTATATGTGTGTGTGTGTGTGTGTGTGTGTGTGTGTGTATTGATTTCAGAGGGGAAGAGAGATATGGAAACATCAATGATGAGAAAGAATCATTGATCGGCTGCCTCCTGCACAACCCTACTGAGGATTAAGCCTGCAACCTGGTAGACCGGGAATCGAACCCTGACCTCCTGGTTCATAGGTCGACACTCAACCATGAGCCACTCCGGCTGGGCTGCTCTTGTTTTCATTCTTATTCCCACCACTGCCCTCCCAGGTCAAGCCCCCATCACCAGTGTTCCCTTGGTTCCTGGCCTCCTGGC